GATCAACCTCCCAGGTTTCTTTTTGCGATGTGACGTCTAGTAACTGCAATATATTCACTTTTTTCTGTGATTTTGGGAAAGCTCTAGTTTCAATAGTGGTGACCCTGGGTTGTTTTCCGATTGTAATGTATTTAAGGGCGATCCTTTATGATTTTCTCCTTTCTGCATCCCGCTAGTACGTTTCTTTTTTCTTCAAATTGAGTATCACGCGAACTAGAATATGGCAATTCAGCATTGTAGGTTACTTTTTGAAAGCGATTTTGTGGATTTTCCTGTTTTCCCATCAACTATAACCTAGTGCGATAGTTTCCGTCCGGCAATTCGTTGGTAGCGGTCACGTAGCGGAATATTTGTGGTTGGTGCATGGCCCTCACGTTGTCCTCCAGGTCCTTGCCACTCCACATAAATTTCTCATGAATGCTCCGAAGTTAAGCACTAATTATCCGAAAGTTGGTATGTTGTACAGTAGTAGTGGCTATTTTGGCTAAATTGTTATTAGTCAAATGGCCGACCATTAAAGGCACCTACTTCTGCATCATTGATGCGTATAATGTGTTGCCGCTTCAATTGTTTACGCTCGATGCTTTTCTGGAATTTGACGCTTCAGGTGTTGATGTGTAAGGTCAGCAGGAGGCAAGCTTTTCGCCGAGCAGGATTGATACAAGTAAAAGAGCGAGGGTGTCATAGAGTTTCTGCGCGAATGTGGCTGGCTAGGTAATGATTATTCGGCGCAGATCGTTGCTGCTAGTGCCTATTTACAAGATAGCTTATTACCTACCATTTGGCTTCAAAGAAATAGATGAAGGGAACGAATGGCTGAACGAATGATGGTGGATTTTTTGAGGTAGAGGTAGAAGGGAGCGAGTTGGAATAGCGCCACCTCTATGTGATCGAGCTTGCTGGCGTTGGTCATCTGTTTTAGAATTATTCTTCAGTTGTATATGTCTTCTTTCCCGCTGGGTTCAAAAAGTTACATCAAAAATTATGAAAATGATTGTGATAGCTGGGACGGATCAACCCGCGGACAAGAGCCTTCGTTGCGTCCACCAAATGCTTGACAGAAAAATAAAATAATTAAAGAGCATGAAAATGGTGTGAATCATATCGCTGAGCCCATCTTCATTATTTTGTGGTTAACGCTGGTGTCACATTGCTGTTACTAGTAACGTGGTTGCCCTGCAAAGTCGTCGAACCAGTTTGTAGGCCATTGATTCAAGTCTCTTCAACTAGGCGACTTTCATGTACGCTTTTCGCATTTTTTCTTACCGGCGAATTTCTAGCTACAACTGTTTTGGTTTTACTAAAAGATTAGTTTCCATCTAAGTGAGCAGTTTTCATAATTGCTATTAGTAGTAATTTTCAACTTTTTTTTTCTATTTGTGGTTTTAATCATAGTAGACTTTGTGGATTTGAACTAAAGATCATAAAAGAGCTTACTGGAGCCCCATAGTCAAACAATTCTGCGGAATTCTGAGGTTTTTTTCATCAACTGAATGAGTTTTCTTGTTTCACAGCTTAACACAGCGTCAGTTGGTTCGTTGTACCCGTCATTGTTCTATGGGGGTTTCCACCTCGTTCACTAAAGTTAATAGCGCTGGAAAAAGTATCGCACAGATGTTTTGGTGTTAATACCTCTCACTCACTATTCCCACGGGGTTGTAAATGATCGCTGCCAGCGAACTGGTTCCTCGATTGCTACTCAACTGGTGGAAGCTCAGTTTTACTTGTCGTTAATTTTCCCTTTTTGTTTTCGTTTCCATTTCTTTTTCATATGGAATAGGATCTAATGAGGTACTTGTTTTTATGTGAAGTTTCTTTCTCGATTCACATTTCGCAGTAGTTGAAATATTGAGGGGGAGTGGTGCAGATATTCTATTACATAAGAGCGTGTGTGATTCATGTTTTGAAGCTGTACGTGGTGTGTAATACAATTCTGTCATAGTTGCTCTCAAACCACCTCATTTCACCTCCTTGGTGAGGGAGATTGTTGGCTTGCCGGCTACCGATCTGAATGTTGTGCAAATTAAGTGTGAGCTTCATAGCAGAAGCACCTGACGATGAGTAGCTTCAATGGTAAATGGTGTTGGAGGTGAAGCAGGTTTGCCGTGAGATGCTTCGAATTCTACATCTTTTTGTTCGATTGTGACGTTGTCTGTTACCAGGACAATTTTTCATTTTTATGTTTATAACCTCTTTTGGGTAATTCCTGTTTTCGTAAGTAGTTGTGCTTCTTGATATGTTCAAGATTTTGCACACTCACTTGTACTCTGAAGTGTCTCTGGACCACGCATGAAGATCGTCCATGCTTTCGTGACTACCCACAAGTTATTTTTTCCTCAAATATCCGTTTATTGCAAGTGCAGGTGTTTTGTGGAAAACTTGCCTATCATGAAAAACTTCCCTCGTCTTGGATTCTACTTAAAAGGGCGTCTGATTATAAAGTTCGAAATAGCGTCGATTACAATTAGGAAGCGTTTGCGATTGAAAGCCGTTTTGCGCATGTTGGTTCTGCCCTTCAAAGCATTGTTAGGGTTGGAGGCAATGCATTAGAGGTCAAAACTGTCCCGCAACACAATTGACCAGGGTGGCGAGGTTTTGTCCATAGGTCCAGCTCCGTTTTGTTCAAAATAAAGATTCTAGAGCAGTGCAGCGTGGGTCCAGAGTCAACATGGTCTGTGTTGATGTATTTTGGCGCAGTCGATTGAACTGACAACTTGTTTACCCTTCGGAGAGCACCTGGAATTTGTGATTAGTATGAACTATTCATGGTGGTTTGATTCATGGGAGGGGAGTGTAGCTCGAAAGAGGTTAGGCAAATGCTGTGATTACATTTTACAACGTAATATAATCTACGGCTCTTTCAACTGACCTCATTTTCTCAAGAAAACATAGTACGGCTCTTATTATGCCTCACTGCACCCTAGTGATCGATGTAACTGGAAAGATTTGACAGCATATACAACCTCCTCTCTTGGGTGGTGCCTTCACCCAGTACGCCCTCCCCCTCCTCTTCGCAACGAGGTCTACTCCATTGTAACTTTTTGTTACCTAACAAGGGAAGGATGGTAGGTCGAAGTGGCCGTATAAAATGAGATGTATACCACCTGATGCGTCTCTAGACGCTGATTCCAAATCTGCCTTCCAAATCTGCTAAACGGCTCTCCGAACGGAGTTATGAAGCGTAATAGCTCAGTGGTGATGGTCCGGGGTGGCAGGTAAAAGCTCGTAGGATCGGTTCCTTTGCAAGTTTGTTGCTTTGCTTTTGTCCGCAACACTTCTAGAGACAAAAGCAAAGCAACCAATTTGCAAAGGAACCGATCCTACGAGCTTTTACCTGCCACCCCGGACCATCACCACTGAGCTATTACGCTTCATAACTCCGTTCGGAGAGTCGTTTAGCAGATTTGGAAGGCAGATTTGGAATCAGCGTCTGGAGACGCATCAGGAGGTATACATTTCATTTCGAACGGCCACTTCGACCTACCATCCTTCCCTTGTAAGCTACACATACCAATCGAACGAAGTTCAATAAGTAGAGAGACGAGAGCGCGCGGTAGAGAGAGTGATACGTTCGCAATCTTAGACTGTCAGTTGAACAAATGTCCAACCTTTTCTGAATTTTCGTATAAATTTCTGAAAAAATTAGGTGAACGTAATTACATCAAAAATTCTTTAATCTTTCTCAACAGATCTAAGACCTATATGTGAACTGTCCCACTTCCCTCCCCCACAATGCACACTACTGATACCCTGGAAAAAACAATCCTTCTGTCAGAGAAATTGCGGACCACTTAACGGCGAGTGTTAGGGAATGTCGAGTTGGTCATTCGCACTGCATGCTCTGGAAAATGTCGCTGTTTGCAGTTCCTTTCTATAGTGACCCATGATGCAAGAGACCTCTGATTCTTGATTAGTAAGCTGCAATGAAACTTCCTTTCTATTCCATCTGACTCTCGATTTCAAAAGTTGATTTCTTCAGACGAACCAGAAGAATTATTGCGAATTTGAGTTACTTTGAATGTGAAGGAACTGGTTATGCTTTTAAGTAGCATATTTGGCGAACTTGGAATTATCGTCTCTCAATTTCTTCATGGTGTTTTGCATCTTCTATTCGCCATTTTGCGGTGGAATAATTGCATAATTTTTTCCCTGTGTGATGTACTGGTCTCTTTTCGATAGAGTTCAGAAATTTGAGAGCGATCTTGGTAACTGTCTTCTTGACTCAGATTTCCTCTGCTTTTTATGGCTAATTGACAGCTTGTGTTGATTACAGAAAGCACCACTACTGCGGTGTCCAGTTCGGCTTTTTGTGCTTAGCAGCTAAAGCTCTGTGGGAAACGAAGAAGATGTCATGGGCTGGCTTATCTTCGACGGTATCAGCGTTCTATATGTATTGACATTATTCCTGTTGGTAAGCCGAACTTAATAGTGATGTAAATTTTTTGCTTTGATGTTTTTTGATTCACTTATTACAATCCTTCTACCTTCATTGGTATGGTATCAATTACCAGCACCATTGTGTATCATTTCCTTCCGAAATTGCATTAGAATATGCGTAGATACATTGAGGTTAATGGGATTGCGATAGCTTTGCGATCATTTAATTTAGCTGACCGTGGCCGCATTCTAACTAGGTCTTAATTAGTTTCTGTTCGGGCGGAAAGTGAGTCGCCACTTGTCTTGATCAGCCTCTTAGCCGTGGTATAGGCAATACCAAGCGTGACCCCATTCGAAAACGTTCAAACACTCCGATATCTTTGAGCATATCAATTTTTCCGTTGAACTGGGAGGATGGCGAAGTAATACCCCTCAGCTATCGAAAAAGTTGCTTCCTTGCTCCGCCATATAATTTTTGAGTGTGGTAGGTATAGATCCAGTTCATCCTTTCTATTTCCCTGTGGAATTCCTAGAATTAGCTGTTTATACATCCGTGTAAATATTTGCATCGTTCACGCATGCCAAAACAATACCAATTGTTTTCGCATCAGGAAGCTTTCTTAATGAGTAATGTATACCACTGAGAAAGGAATGGAATGGGGTGGGGGGGGGGGGGCACGCCGTATCCTTTATGCTTATGTCTTTTTTCTCATAATGTTCTTTGTATTTGCGAGTTTTTATTTTTCAGTTGATAATAATTATGGCCATATTCGTGCAGAGGCAAATTCTTCGACTTCGTAATAATAGCGCCAGGCAACGGCCGAATGTCTCATTACGACCTATATCTAAAAGTTAGTTTGACAATTTTTTTTGGTTTTTTCCCCTGACTGCTGAATCCTTTACATTTTGAAAGCTCCTTTGTCGCCTCCAATCACGGGCAGCCTTTTACGAGATTACTTGAAGTGTTTTGTGGAACGCGTATGCCTAGCAACGTCGCTTCGGCTATAGTCAACTCCATTATGAATTCGAAGAGTTCTGTCACAAATACGCTAGAGTTAGGGTGCAGAGAGCTCTGCTGAAGTTCTTTGGGGTGAGTGGAGACGCTAGGAGCTTTCTTTCTATGCAGCGATCATTTGGCCATGTTTTCAAATGGCTAGTCTTTTTTGGTATCAGTAATAATATCACGTGAAACCTATGCCATTTAAGAAACTGTTCATTCATTTGAACCCGCATTTTTCATATTCGAGTTAAATGTTTTCAGCCCTAAATGCTCTGCATTATTCGCTTCTTTGGTGGCCATCGTTATTACAGTTTATGTGCTTTACATGACGCCGATTTTTCTTAACATTTATTTAATGGGCTGATTGTAGAGTCATGTATCGGCATCGAGCAGATGTTGGAGGCAGTGGGAACAATGCGAAAGTCGTATTTGCCGCGGCTGACGGATTGTACGACCATCGGCCAACGTAAGTCGTTCATTGCTTATTGGCTTAGTGTTTTTCAATCGTTGTTTTCGATTGAGCCACGCATTTTTAGTGGTCTTATAGTCGCTAAAATTTCGCTATTATTTTTCCTAATTTATTCTGTGTTGTTCATTCCTCTTCTGTCACTTGTTTAACCACTCTTCCTGAGGCATTGCTACCTCCAGTATTTCTCCGAATTACCATTTGATAAGCCTGGCTGGCGAAGGGGCGCAGGAAGCAGAGAAACAGTGGTTTTATAGTGTTTTCTTCTTCTTCGAGAGTAGTTCGCAAAGGTCAACCTCTGTAACTTATGTCTTGTCTCTTATTGGAATTAATCGAAGGCCAGTTTATGGGTCAATTCACCTTTTTATCGAATTTCCCCTGTCTTTTCGATGAAAAGGTGGACAAAAATTTCTTGCTGTACTCTCGTTTACTCATAAAACACCTTAAAGTCGGTTCCGGTAGAAATGAATACTCGCTGCTCAACCGAGAGTCGCTGTGATTTTTACGGTGCTTTTTTTCTGAAGATTAACTTTTCATAGTTCACGATTTTCCAATCAAAATCTTCCCGTTGGGCAGAATTCTCTTTACTTTTTTACTTTTTTTCTGCCGTCTTCGAATTCCATCTCATTTCATAAAAGCAGCAGTATATAGTCACGGAATCATTTTGATATCTATCATTTGATCTATGGCACGATTGGGCGGCAATTCAAAGGGAAATCGAAGAGAAAGACTTGATACTTCAAAAATTTCTCTCCCTTTTTACAGGGATGTACATTATACAAGGTCAAGGTTCGAATCTCTGCCTGCTGTGACTAGAATATTATCCTGGCTCTACCCGGGCAGGAGTGCTAACCATTCTACCAATCGGGGCATTTTTCTCCGTACAACTTTCATAAGAATTTTCTTTCAATTTACTGTTGATCAAAGTAGTATAGGGAAAAAGAAATTTCAATTCTGCTTATGTGCGACTTATGCGATACTTTTTGGATCATAGCGCAGGTGTCCTGCTGGTGATGAGCTTTTCTGATTAGCTGCACGTATGCTGCGGCATCGACGTTAGCGAATATGCGTAGATTACAAAGCAGAAGTTGCGCTCTTCAGCTTTAACTCTATACTAAAATTTCTTCTAACATCCATGGCTTTGTAGTCAGAACTCGTAATGTAGAAGCTTAATAGCTCAAAACGGATCGGAAACAGGAATTTTTCCTTTTTTCGGTGTGAATGTGGAGAAGCGTCAACAGCCGGATATCCTTCCTCAGCGTGCAAGTCTAATGAAACATCAGAAGTGCATTAAATTGTGCAACCGCAAAAGCGGAAGGAGCAGAGATTGATTACTTTCTGAGTTGCGCCACACATTCCGCTTCCATTCGAAGTTGTAGCGGCATTTGAATGCGACTTGGCGTATGACTATCGAGGGCGGTGCGATGTGCAGCTCAGTGATATTATTGTGGCCAATTTGGGTATCAGTCTGCTGACTGATACCCTAATTGGCCACAATAATATCACTATCCAGCGATGTAAAAGACTTGGTTGTCGTGAGCGAGATTCAGTCCGAAATCTGATCTCGGACTTGAGGCAGGCATGCGCCACTTGCTACTCATCAGTCGAGGAAGTTGGGCCAAGCCGTCCGTCTGGTCCACTCAAACGGGGTGGTCGTACTTGCAATTTTTGAGAGAAGAGCGAAAGGGGGTCATATTTGGGGCTAGCTTTCTTCGGAAATTTAAGGGAGGGGTCGTTTTTCTCATTATATATAAGTTGAAGGGGTCGTGGCTGTGGGAGAGGGAGTCCTTTCTTGAGGTTTTATCCTCTAAAATGTCAAGGACGAAGCGTGAATAAAAGCGATTGTTTAGTCTGCTGTCTCTTAGCGCATATTATGGCACCACCTCTCGCTTGACAGCCATTTTGTAAGGAGATTATGGCCGGACTGGATGATGAAGTGGTGGTGGTTGTGGTGGATCGTATCGAGAAGGCTCTATTGTAAGAGTTGGGAGAAGGCGTCCTTGCGTCCCTGAAATTTGTCGCACCCGAGGGTTCGCTCTGCCGGGGATGTTTCAACTATTTGGATACCTTTTCAGATCGGTACCATTGTTTCAACGTAGCCTTTCATCCATTTGGATTTGCTTGCTACCAAACCTGATTGGGATGAGTGAACTTGATTTGCATATCGAATCTTCTCTGGTCACCGCTAGAACAAGGGCGGGTCCTATACTCCAGTTTTTTGATGGGGAACGAGTGCGTAGCGCGTCCTTGGAATAGTGTTCAAGTTGTTGCACTTTCTCACTCCCATGTTCCGTACCTTTAAAGCGTTCGATGAGTAAGATCAGGTGGCATTTGGGACATCTCATGCATTCAAATTCCACTTATGGTTTGAATCGTAAACCCATACAATTACGAATTCGGCCCATACAATGGCTTGATGGGGGCCTATCAATGTTCAAGTTTGGGTTATTATTCTTCCGGACAAGTCTGACCCCAAATCCAAAGAATGAAGGCTTTGTTCATGTGAGTTTTGGTCTAGGTGCAGGGTAGATGCTGGGCATGCGTATTACCACATAATGCGCCTGCTTTTAGTGGAGGACCTATTCTTTTTTGTTTATGGGAGCTTCCAGTTATTTGCTGTCACCTCTCACCTCCTAATGTCCCATCAACATCCAATGAATGGAATATCTCTGAATCCTTTTTTCCTTGTCAGAATTGCTCACTAAATGAGTTTATATCAGTACTTAACGTTGTCTGATATTTTTCTTTCGTTTCGCTATATGTTAGAGTTCTCTCAACACAAATCCCGTTTTGTCTGTTGGTGCCCTTGAGTGCAGTTCTAAACAATAGATAAGTGAAAAAATAGATAAGTGTTGATTGAATTGGCGATTGTCGGTTGATTATTCAGTTCTAGTTCAGTGTTGGAATGCAGCGCTTATGTGGAGAATTTATCAATCGATTCTTATGTGTACTGTTTTCAGATAGCAGTGCGCCATACGTTCATCGAATGATCGCTGTTGATGAGATTTCATTGGAAATCGGTGAGATTTCCCCGTTGTTCTTCTATTCGTCACTTTCATCCTGGGTGCGAGAATTGCTAAAGGCGTGTGCGTAAAGGCTGCTGTTGCTGATGTAAATTCCCCTCTGGACTGGTATTTCACTGCCCGACGCTCATAACAAAGTTGTGGATGGAGGGTCGATTAAGGTTGTTTATTTGAAAAAGGGGAGAATTCGTTTTGTAAACGTATGACTTTTTGAAGCATTCTATTTGTGCTAGCAATTTTTGGGAATTTTGGAT